AAAAAAAAAATCTGAGCCTAAATCCCTTAACCAGAGCCACGGCTCCCTCGCTCTGCACTGTCCCCACAGAATATCAGGACACCTATCACCAGCAGAGTGAGATCTGGGAGCAGGATGAGCTTCAGAGGCCCCCAGATCAAACCCAGGAGCGCAGTGACTCTGACCTGGGTGTCACTTCCGGCAGTGGTTTTCCTCTTTTCACACTGGCTAAGGACGGAGGTCACCGTGAACCATTCATCTGGAAGAGGCAGTTTTTCCAAATCATCTTTATTTTTCTCAAGTAATGATTCCATTAGTGTAAGAGGTCATGGACTCCTCAAATCGGCCTTGAATGAAAACAAGCAACAACTTATCCCACTTTCTCTTTGCCTGAGAGGTGAGCGTGATCACCCTTCCGCATCTGTGTTCCAGTATTTATCTTCTCGTATGTAAGGACAGGCTTAGATACTGTCTCGACTTGTTCAATGTATCCATCATCTAAGAGCCAATGAATGGTGAATTGGCTTTATAAAAGCTCTTCAAAACAACCCAAAGATAAATAAATTTTTAAAAAGCACTTCCAAGAGCCAGGTGTGGTGGTGCACACCTGTAATCTCAGGGCTTGGGAGGCTGAGGCAGGAGGGTCCCATAAGTGTGAGGCCATCCTGGGATACATAGTGAGTTCAAGGCCAGCCTGGAATATATAGCAAGATCCTGTCTCAGACAACCAAAAAACAAAAACAAAAATAAAACACTTCCCATTTCTTTCTCCTACCTAATATGGGTATGACTCTTGCATAAGTAAATACCTAGTGTTTACCTTGTTAATTTTGTGATTTTTATTTACATGACCCAGTGTACCAATATGTGTTTCTCTCTCTCTTTTTTTTTTTTTTCTTCTTTCTTTTGGATGCTGGGAATGAAACCCAGGCCCTTGTGCCAGCTAGGCAAGCACTGTACCACTGAGCTACACTTCCAGCCTTGTACAACTTTTTGTTTTCTCTAAAGTTGATAAGTAGCTCTGTTTTTTTCATTTGCTTACAATTCTGGATGCTGAACAATAACTTTTCTTAGAATCTCTAATGGTCTTTTAATGTTCCCACATAGCACCAGGTATGGTATCATATCCCAGAAATCCCAGCCCTTGGAAGGCTGAGGCAAGAAGATCTCCATGAATTAGAGAATAGCTTGGGCTACATAGTGAGTTCAAGGCTAACCTGAACTACATAGCAAGACCTCAAAAAATAAAAATTCTCTCATATCAAGCAATTCAGGTCATCCGCTCCTTCTATCTTCCTCCTGGATCCCCCCCCACACACTGTGTGTGTGTGTGTGTGTGTGTGTGTGTGTGCGTGCGTGTGTGTGTCCCTCCCTCCTTCAAAGTGGACTGGTTTCTTCACCTCTTCCGTTATGGACTCCCCTGGGTCTCTTGTTGCCTTCTTTCTTGGTTTATTCCAAGAGCTCGGGAAGCGTGCCTTTTGAGAAACTGCACGTCTAAAAATGTCTTTATTTCCCTTCAATCCTTAATTGATAATTGAGCTGAACCTGGGATGATAGGTTGGAATCCTTTTCCTGTGGGATTTTGATGCCTTGCTCTATTTTCTCGTAGCTTCTGATGTTTTTATTGAGCAGTCCGGAGCAATTCTGGTCGCTGATCCTTTGTAAAAGCCTACTATTTTATCTCTTGGGAAGCTTTTAAAGTCTTCTCTTTATCCCTGGGTTTTGAATTTCATGGAGACGCATGCACCGGAGTGGGGTCTTTCCCCTGCATTGTGCCTGGGACTCAATGGTCCTTTCAAACAGGGGGCCCGGGCCCTTCGGTTCTCGGAAAGTTTTCATACTACTCATCTGAACAGTTTTCTCCCCTCTATCCCTGTGTTCTGTGTCTGAAATAAGGCTGAGTAATAGAAGACACGATTTTAGAGAGAGAGTGGCCAGGAGAGGTCTCGGATGAAGTGACATTTTTGTAGAAAACTGAGTGAGTCTCTGGGAAAAATTATGAAACTTCTTTTGTTCCTTGCATAGTCGCTGTCTGTTCGGTTTCTCTGTCCATCTTCAGCGGGCCTGTGACCTGGTGGACTTCACTGCTAGGTGACCAGGTCACACGCTGGCTTTTTCCTCTCAGTCTCCTGCCGGGTAACAGGGGAGAGGAGCAGGGGTCTGTCTGCATTCGTCGGACCCCTGCCTAATGGTGTTCACGGGGCCTTCGGCGGCTCCCTGAAATTCCGGGCTGTTCTGAGATCCGGCAGGGGGCGCTCGCAGGATGCAGGTGAGCACGTGTCTAACCTCCGGAAGGAATTCGAGAGCGGGCTCTAACTGCGCACTTGGGAGGCTGTGGCGGCGGCGGCAGCAACACTGTGAGTTCGAGGCCGGCCTGAACTACATAATGAGACACTGTCTCCAAAAAAAAAAAAAAAAAAAGCCCTAACTAAATAAATAGGTAAACAAACGCCAGCACCCAGCGAGCCCAAACCCACACGCTCGCCACCTCATCTGGCATGGTCGCTCTCTGTTCGGTGTCCTCGGGTCAGAGGCCCTGAAGCCCAGACTGCCAAAGTGACCCCTGGAAGTCACACAGGTAGTGGCAGAAGGGTCAGGAGTCCCTCTGTCCCTCTGCTTCTCACGCATCTTGTCTGGACTTTCCAGAAAAGCCCCTGAGCCAGGAAGAAGACTTTCCTCTGGCTGGGGTTTGCAAAGCAAATGCTTTTCCTGCCCCGTGGGCCATTCTGACCCGCATCTCCACATCTGGAGGACAACCAAGAATTCGACGTTGTACTCAGCAAGACCAGAAGCGTTCACGGAGCATTAAACAGAGATCATTTCTCACAGGACAGAGTCAAGATAACAAATCCACCTTAAAATAAACCTCCAGTCAGATTACCAATTAACACCTAAATGTATTTAAGCAGAAATAAGTTTAATTGTCTAATTAATTTTTCACCAATTAAGTCCATTTTTTTCATGTTACATTTTACACTGCTTTGGCAATGAAAGTAATTGGATCCCTTTATAACCATTTTCCACTTCCTGGTTTGCTAAGTACTTCAACGCTGTTGTCTAGAGAAGATATAAATTGCCCCAAACTGGCCGCATTGCCACTTTATGAAGTTCATAAAATACTCTCTTTGCGGGGGCTGGAGGTGGCAAGGGGCTGTAAAGTTGAAAATGACAAGATCCAGCAGAAAGGGTGCGCTGGGGACCTCCCTAAAATAGTCCCCAAGGAGCCCAGCTTCCTGGTGTTCACACCCTCTCAAACTCCCCTGAGCTGGACCTAATGAATCGCTTCTAATGAGAACAGTGCCATCCGTCACAGGAAGATTTTCATCTTGATGGCTTGTTCACCCCTCTCCCTCCCTTCCCCAGCCCCCTCACCCCATCACTCAGTTCCTAAAGCTGAGTCAGTGGGGAGGATCCCAAGCTTCGGGCCCAGAGCCACAGGGCAGAGCTTGAAAACGGAGCCTTTAGAAACCTTAGAGCCCGTTAAATTACTCCTCCCTACACTGCAGAGCTGCTGAATTGGGGATAATTTATCACACTGTCATAGAGGCAGGCCTGAGTTTTCTTCCTTTTTTCTTTTCTTTTTGGTTTTCTGAGACAGAATCTCACTATATAGAAAGGTTGGCCTCAAACTTGTTGGGGATCCTCCTGCCTCAGCCTCCTGAGTGCTGGGATCACAGATGTGGGCCACCACACCCAGCTAGTTTTCTACTTCCTTGCAAATTCCCTCTATATGAGTCTTTTGTTTTGTTTTGGTTTTTGAGACAGGGTCTAACTATGCAGTGCATGTTGGCTTTGAACACACCACGGAGCGTAGGCTGGCCTTGAACTCATGGCCATCCTCCTACCTCAGCCTCCTGAGTGCGGGGATGACAGGCATGCGCCACTGTATGATTCTTTTAACTCTCAATGATCCCTGTTTCCTTATCTGTAAAATGGGCACACTGACCATACCAACCGCACCGGGACATTGTGAGCTCAGAAAGGTGGAAACTGACCCTAACGGATCACTAGGCCTGGGGCTGTTCTATCCACACTGTCTCATTTTTGTGAAATTTGTGGTGGGATAACAGATATCCAGTACAGTGGAACATGATAAGCCCAATGTGTTTTTATGGTTTATTAAAACGTTGCTTAACTAAACATCAATCTTGGATCAACCTTAAATAAACCATATGTCTTTAAGAACTGATGGGCTTTAATTAGTTTCTTCATTAGCATGTGAGAAGTTTGCAAACCTGTTAGTATGGCTCTCCAGATCTGAGGAATAAGCTTTATGTGGGCCTCATCCATGGAGCCAGGACCGAGGTCTCCACGTGCCTCAAGCTCCACGTGTGGCCCCACCCAAGTCTCAGGCCAGCCAAGCAAGCCTTCTTTTTTACTTCTTTGTTTTTTGTTTTTTGTTTTGTTTTGGTTTTTTTTGAGACAGGATCTCACTATATAGCCCAGCCCGGCCTTGAACTCACTGTGCAGCAATGTAGCACAGGCTGGCCTCGAACTCGTGGCGAGGCCTCAGCCTTCTCTCTGAGGGCTGGGATTACAGGCATGATCACCCCGCATCTTGTCACCAGTCCTGCCCTTCCAACTCAGAAGCTCCCCTCCCCTCCCCGCCCTCTGCCAGTTCACACTCAGCCACGTTTAATCATCATCCTGCATCCACTGACAGCACAGAGTTCTATCAGATCTCCAGGCCCTGACTGCTTGGTCATGAGGATGGAGGCAGTTAAAACCCTTTTAAATGCTTAGAAAAGCGCCTGGCAATCCCACCCCCCCACCCCCCCAAACAACCACTTTTATTTTTGGTCCATGATCTGTTTTCCCAGCAGTCAACTCTCCCTCCAGGCCTAACCATATCCTTTCCAGAGCTGCCTGACTCAGCTTCCTAAGGACCATGCCATCCGATAAAGGTCGCTAACCTGTCCTTAGCGCGGCCCATCCTCCTCCACTCTTCCCCAGCCTACCCTATTCCCAGCCCCATGAATGTCTCTCCGTTGCCCAAACACGCCTCCCTGAGCCCCACCTACCTCGAGACAAAAATCGATGAGGGACGGCGGGCAGGGCCCAGGCTTGCTCAGGTGGCAGCAAAAGACAGAGCCCAAGGTGGTGGCAGGAGGTTCTGTGAGGAGTGCTGCTGAAAGACGCAAGAGTGCTGGGACTTGACTTCTTCTCTACAGAGGTGGAACTAAAATAGCTGCTTACTAAAATGTTTATCATCACGAAATATTAGGCAAGAATAAAAGGAGCTACGCCAGGCACTGTGGTGCTTGGTCAGTGAGGCAAGAGATTAGGGCACCCTGGCAAAGCACGTAGGTAAGTGGGCGGGACCTGTCAATCACGGAGATCGGGCACATGCGCAGAGGTACCTGCACCAATCAGAGAAGCCTATCTTCAGTTCTGGCCCAAGATCAAGCAGGTTTGTGATAGGACGAGCTACATCTGACGTCATAATGGGGGCTATAAAAGACTGCAGCCGTTAACTTGGACGCTGTGACCCTTTTTCACCGGTCGGCTCTGTGCTTTGCAGAGAGAGTTTGTTTTTTATTTCTTTTCCAACTTTAATTGGCCTGTCTTTAATTCCTTTAATAAATGTGAGATACATCGCTACCTCGTTTTCTGTCTAATTCTTTGTTCAAGAGAACCAAAGCATGGAAAGGAGCCCTGAGAAAAAGCACAGCCCCGAAGTTCCTCACTAACACCAATACCAGGGAGGCTGAGGCAGGAGAGCCACTGCAAGTTCAAGGCCAGCTGAACTAAATAGCAAGACTCTGTCTCAAAAAAAAAAAAAAAGTTGGATAAAGGTCAATGATTTACCTGAGAACATGAAGACTTGTGAAATATTTCTTGTTACAGCATTATTTGTAACAGAAAATCAGAAAGCAGCAAAAATGTCTGATATTACGGATAAAATAATTTATGGTTTATCCTCAAAATATGGTGGGATGCTGCCATTAAAATCACCTCATAACTGGTCTAGGAATATAGCTCGGTGGCACCGCACCTGCCTTGCAAGCGGCAGATCCTGAGTTCGAACCCTGGTACCAAAAAAAAAAAAAAATCATTCGTAAGCCGGGCGTGGTGTCTCATGCCTGTAATCCCAGCACTCGGGAGGCAGAGGCAGGAGGATTGCCGCGAATTCGAGGCCAGTCTGAGCTATATAATGAGTTCGGGGCCAGCCTGAACTACAAAGTGAGACCCTGTCTCAAAAAATAAATAAATAAATAACAAATTGTCTCGTAGAAATATGCTGTTGACACTTTTTTAGAGTTCTCAATATACATTGTGAAGGAAAGAAACAGGTTTCAAAACAGTACTATGTACAGAATGATCCTGTTTTGTGATAAAAATATAAATGTTTATGTATGCATAAAAAGGGCTGGAAGGACCCAGTGCTTGTCTCTGGGTGGGTGGAATTTGCATGTTTCTTTTCCTTCCTTCTGCTTATATGTATTTTGCGATTTTTCTATAATGAGCATAAATTACTTTTGTAGTAAGAAAAAAATTTTTTAAGTACCAAAAATTGTTTTTCTGATTGTAATGCATTTTTTGTTGTAGAGAATTTGCAAAGTCTGAAAACTAGAAAAAAAATAAGACAATTATGTATCTTGTTCTACCTAGAGAGTCTGTTAACATTTTAGTATAATTCTTTCTAGTCTTTTTTAATGCATGTATGAATCTTTAAACTATTTGAGATCAAACTGATCTACAGTTTAATATCCTACAATTTTTATTACATTGTGAATATTTTTTAAAGTTATTACAGGGCCAGGGATTTGGCTCAGTGGTTCTGCTACCTTCCTTGAAAGAGGAAGGGCCCGAGTTCAATCCCCGGCACAAAAATTCTACATGCCTGAAATCCCAGCTCTTGGAAGGCTGAGGCAGAAGGATTGCTGTGAGTCTGAGGCCAACCTGGGCTATGTAGTGACTTCAAAGCCAGCCTGAACTACATAATGAGACCTGTGTCCAAAAAAGAAAGTTATTACAAATTCTGAATATTGGATATCTCACAAAAGGCTAGAAAATGCTATCTTGTGGGGGGAAGGGGAAAATGAAGGATCAAAAAGAGAGTTAATGGCCTCTAAGCAAAGGCCAAGACATTTTAACAACTTTCCTAAGCCTTCAAGAGGCCTTACATAAAACAATGTAAAATATTCCTATGTTAACAATCATAACTGTAAACTTTTTCAAAAAGCTTTTTTGAAATTTTGCTATTGAATCTGGCTAAACATACTCATTTAATGTACAACTGGCAAACAACTCACTCAGTTACAACTGGCTATAAATTTCTCAGTAATTATTGTGCCTATCCGGGGTCTCTTGCAAATTGAGAGAAATCCAACCTGCACGTTGTTTTCAAATATAAAGAAAATGCTAAGTTCAATAATTAACAAAGTTACCACGATGTCACATTTTATAGACTTTGAATTAAACATTTTCCAATTTTCGTATTTTAAAACCAGTAACTTTTTCTTTTTAAACCAGTAACTTTTTTCAGATCTCAGACTTGTCCCTAGAAAGTTCCTCGGCCCAGGCTCTGGGGCGACCCCACGTGATTCCTTCAGGAGGAGGAGGTCCTCCTGCCTGGTGGGCAATTTGGGCAGAAAGTGCCAGAAATTTCAGCAAGAGCAGCAGCCACTGCAAGGGCCGATGGAAGCAGAGGCCAATTTTTCCACAGAGCTGGCTTTTCTGTGCCAGCCTTCGGTTAGAAAGTGGGAAGGTTTCACCAGGGGGCGCTGTTTCACTAGGGGGCGCTGCTCCGGAGAGACTGCTTCTACTTGCTATTAGCGGGCTGCGTTCCCCTGGCAGGCACAAGGCCCTGGGTTCAATTTCCAGCACCGGGAAAAAGTAAACTGTAGTAAGTAAACCTGGCAAGAAGGCTGGGTGTGGCGGTGCACACCTGTAATCCCAACACTCAAGAGGCTGAGGCAGGACAATCGCAGCAAGTTCCAGGCTGGTGCGTTCATCCAAACTCACAGCGGTTCCGAGAGCAGGACTGTGCCATTCCCAATTTACACAGAAGATCCTGAGGCTCACTCAGAAAGGTTAAATTTTCTGCTCAGGATCAGAGAGCTACGAAGTGGCAGAGCTGGCCCAAGACTGTCTGATCCCTGGCCTGTACATTACCTCCCACACCACAAGTCCTCCCCAAACACACAGGCCTGGGTGTCCAACCTCCCGGCTCCAGGACAGGTGAGGGGGTACTGGGAATTGAACCCTGGGCCTCTGCACTGAGCTACATCCCCAGCCTCTTATTTTTTTAACATTGAGATTAGACCTCACTAAGTCTCTGAATTACTCCAGCTGGGCTCAAACTTGCAACCCTCCTGCCTCAGCCTCCCAGAATGCTGGGCTAACAGGCGAGTACCGCCATGCCCAGCTTCCCAGGGCAGAATGTGAACTGAAAGAAGCCACTGAGGTGGCCTTGTGCTCCCAGCTTTTCCCTTCACACAGAGTCAGCCTGTGTCCCTGTCCCCATCCTACCAAAAGAGGCCTCCTGACCCAGCCCCATTTCAGCCATGCCTGCTCTGGAAAGTGTGTGCAGCAGATAATCAGGGAATTAATGAAGGAAATGGATTAATGAATTAAATACAACTCTCATCCTGCTGAGAAGAGAGGCAGGGAAGGGATCTGGGGAGCACACCATGGGGTAACACACCCCCACACAGTCACCAGCAAAGTGACCATCATGGTGTCGGGATTAGAACCCGGCCAGTGGTTCTTGCATTCCAACCTGGTTCTGTACAGGGCTTTGAGTATTGTTACACATCATCAAACCCAAGACCATCAGCAGGGCGTCCACTGCTCTGTGCAACAAATAGAGAGACCAGGCCTGGTGGTGCACACCTGAAATCCCAGCCCTCAAGAGGCTGAGACAGGAGGGTCTTGGTGACTTTGAGGCCAGTCTGGGCTACATCACAAGACCCTGTCTCAGAAACATCCCCCCAAATACATAAATAAATTTAAATTAAGAAATAACCCCTTGGAGAGAATAGTTGGCTTTTCTAGGGAAACAAAATATTACAATTAATTCACATCCTAAGAGAAGCTCACAAATACTGTGTAATAAATTCAGAATGTTTTTGAAGAGCTCCACCCCAAAAAGCATCTCATTGGATTGGCATTAGGGGTGAATTCTATCTGCTGTTTCAGTTGTTTCAGAGCAAGAAAGCAGAAAAACTTCCAGATTCTTTTCATGCAGCCAGTACCAAACCGTATGAGACCTGACAGAGTCCAGCAGGAGAATAACTTGGAAAGACGCACAGAAGCGACCTCTGAAGTTGGTGAATGCAGGAATCATTTTCTAAAGAGGAAAAATCACAGTCAGGATTTCCACAAATGCCATCATTAAACTGTTCTGGAAGCACCAGCCTATACCGTTTTCCCACAGAAAGAAACAAGATATTGGAGGCTGAGGCAGGAGGATCTCCAGGAGTTCAAGGCCAGCCTGAACTACATGTGACCCCCTGTCTCAAAAGCAAGAAAGCAAAGTGGGTGGGAGGAGGGCCTCACCTTTGCTAGATAAACGCCCTACCACTGAGCTACACTCCTGGCCCAGACATTTTTGTAATTAAAGGTAATAAGATGTGCATTCTCAAT